ACCAGAGTTCCTTCTTCTCGTTCCATTGATCGGGATACCGCCCGCTTTCTTTCCAGGTAAACGGCAACTCGAACGATTATATACGGATAATTCGAGTGTCACGAAGGTAAAGTTGTAAACCGTAATGGTTAATACTTGTTGGAAGAGGTAGTTGTTGTTTCGTTGTAACCAGCCGAGACCTTTCCCGTCACGATTTTAACGATTCTGAAATATACCGCGAACAATATTCTTGTTCGTACGAAGAGGCGGTAGAAGAGTTTTGCGGGTTCTCGAAAAAATTACGTTACTCGCTATATATCGTATTCCATCGTCGAATCGTTCTCACGATGCTCGCGAACGTAATATACGCAACGTCATCGTCCGTTTATTATCGTTTGCCGCAAATTTTCACCGAGCGCGTAGTACGATTTATTCTCTTTATTATCGCGGAGAAAGCGAGGAGAGACGATCCGAGGATATATATATGTATATATATATATATATATTATTCGATCGCGTGATGGAAATTGCGAAAAGCAATCTTTCGATAGATCCGGCATCGCTCGCTCGCTTTTCGGGATCGCTAAATAAAGCCACGGTTGAAACGGTCGCGACGCAGCTGTCGTTCACAAGTACACAATGGTACCCCTGTTTCATTGCTCGGAGGCAAGCTCGAGAGGCATCGGCGTAACGTCGAGACATAGAGTATATAGAGTATATAGTATCCACGAGTTTTTCGGCCTCGAGAACGATCGTAAACCGAGCGCCACGTGTTTGAAAAGTGGGCCAACTCGCTGAACGTTCGAACAACCTCGTCCACGAATTTTCATCCGTTCCAGAACTTTCCGAACCGTTATTAACCGCTTCGAACGTTTTTTGGGATAAGCGCGATTTATCCCAAGATACGGAGAGTGGGTGGAGAAAACGTCGAAGAGCGAGCGAGCGAGCGAGCGAGCGAGAGAGAGAGAGAGATATTCCCTGTTGGAATCGCGGTTGGCAATTGGCGCGAGTTATATTTATCCGATTGTAGCTGGGAGTTTCCTTGCGACTCGAAAATACGGTGCATATGTACGCTTATGTACGTTGCGCTCGCCTCTGACAAAGAAGGAAGAGAGGAGTTTTCCCGTGCGTCATCGTCGCCTCGTTCGAAACGGCTCAGTTTTTCGACCCGATTCGATCGTACGTACGAAGGAAAATTAACGAAAACTCGAACGAAAACGATCGAAAAGTTGAATTATTGTCGTTTCGAATTTTTTTACAACACTTTCGAAACCGACCGATCTTTCCACGAATTTTTAGTAGAAACGCGAAACGAACGAGATTATCCCATGGTCCATCCCCGGGACTGCGCCAACAACAATAACAACAGGTAGGCAACCGCGATCTCTCTCGCGGCGAATAAGAAGTAAGAATGAACCAGAGTAAGTTGAATATATACCGCGCGCAGAAAGGAGACGCTTCCTTCTTCTTTTTTTTTTTTTTTCCAACCTCGGGATCTAGATTCTCAGCCCCCGGTTCTTTTTACGAGAATTCGTTTCAACCTCGGTCGCCCCTGGTGGATGGGGGAGGTCGAAACGCACTCGGGACGTTGCACGCTTTGAATAGACGACGACGACGACGACGGTCTCTCGCGAGGATCTCGAGTTTCAATAGCCATGCCATGTCCGATTTCCTGACATCCACGAAACACGTGGAACGAGAAGAGAGAATACGAGAGGAATCGTGTTCTCACGCATAAAAGGAACAAGCTGATTTTTCGTAAGGATGAATCGCGACCGCGTATTCTATACCGAAATACTTTTTTTCTTTTCAACGTTTTCCAGATACATTTATCTATCTATCTATCTATCTATACATATATATATATATATATATATATATACGATAAAAAAGAAACGGAAAGAC